ATCTTCGTTAATATATAAATAAAACATTGACTCAATCCAAAACTAACATATTTATTTTAGAGGGTTAGTAGTCCACTAATTTACTAAAAAAAAAAGGCTAGAACCATTATTAAATTTTTTAAAAATTTAGGGGGTAAATATAATGTATAAAATAATTTTATAGGTTGGTAAAAGGAAGGACAAAAAAACTCAAGAAACTGAGTTTCTTGTATGATAAGCTTTTCTGTATTTATTTTATTTTTCTTTGTGGCTGGACAATAGGTAGTTGAGAGTGAGTGATACAGAGAGAAAAAAAAATGAAAGATAAAATAGATTTTAGTCAAGTGGGCCAAAAGTTTTATTTTTTAATAATGGTGGGCAAAAAAATTTATCTTTAATCTTGGCCCAAAAATTTTGTTTTTAATATTGTGCTAAAAGTTTTATTTTTTTAATAGATATTGATAGATTATGATAGGTCAAATATTTGATTTTTTAATAAGTTTAGATAGATAATAGTGAGTTCAATTTTTTTTTGTTTTAAATAGACTTAATTTTTTAATTGTTTTGGGTAAATAATATTAGTCTAATATAAATGAGGGGGGCACACTTAATATATATGTATAAATATATAATACATATATCTAACTAATAAAAAAAAAATTGAGTGAGGCACGTGCTCACCCTGGCCCTTACCTCCTTCCGCCTATGGTTGCTCCTAATGAATGGGTGGTGTGGTGAGGGTGGAAATCATGTTGGACCGCCAGTACACTCGTAGATGTGTGTAGAAGTTTTAATTAAGACGAATTATTCAGGCTCGATTTATATAAAATTCGGTTCGAACTCAATTAGTGTTCTAAATGGTCGAAAACTAATTTGAAAAGTTTGGCTCGTTTATATATAAAATAGTTGAATTACTCAGACTTGAGTTTGCCTTAATTTTTAAATGAACTAAGTTTAAACAATTTTTTTAACTTATTTTAAAAAAAAAATTCGTCAAACTCATATTCAAATTCGCAAAACTTAATCCGATTAACAATTTTGTACGCGTAAGATGATGCCTATCATGCCATGAGTTGCAGACCATGTAAATTTGGACTTTATGGGATCTACTAGTCCATTGTACCTTGGACAAGTATCCAAGAGTCATGGGCCTTTTTGATCTAAAAAAGGTAACACTGTTAAATGAATTTTTGTTTGGGAAACAGGTTGTATGAAGATCAAATTCGTGCCCTTTAAATTTAAAAGGTCGGGAGAGTGGTTGATTATTATGCCAAAATGAATCGAGTCACTTAAATTTGGCTTCATTTCAAACTTGGTCGAATGTGATTAATTTTTAAACTAATTTAGTGTTTAAGGCAAACAAAAGTGATGTTTACATTGGTGAATTTTTACTTTTTTTTTTTACGTACCAAAATAATTTTTACTTTTATAAAGCCATCTTCTAATTTTTTTCCTTTTGTTGTTAAGTCAACGCAACTCAACAAATTTTTAATTTTAATTTATTTAAGATCAGTTGCAAGAATTCTATTTTTTTTATTAGGCTATATCAAAAATAATATGTTTGGTTAGACCATAAATTATTATATTATTTTATTTACAATTATTTTAATTTTGCATTTACCTCTCACATTATCATTGAAAATGTATCAAATCATTTTCCCTCATAAGTGCATTATTAGGTCTTCTATAAGCATATCCAAATTCCTTAAATTGATTTTCTCTTAATTTATAGTTTAATAAGGGTAACCTGTGCTTAAAAGTACAATTTAATGTAAATGATTTTGAGAGAAATATTAGTGATTGTTGAATAAATTTATTTAAAACCGTCAAATAAGATTATTGAAACTTGTCTTATTTTATATTATATAATTCATGTTGCTTCTTCGATTTTACGAATATACTAATTTTTTAATTTTATCATTTCTCATTTTATCACGNTTTATTAGGTTATAAACTACTATTACTAAAAAAAATGGTAAATGAGAACTAAAAATTATTCTTAACAAGTAACAAGCATTGTGTTAGATAAAGAGAAATATTGTATCTTCGTTAATATATAAATAAAACATTGACTCAATCCAAAACTAACATATTTATTTTAGAGGGTTAGTAGTCCACTAATTTACTAAAAAAAAAAGGCTAGAACCATTATTAAATTTTTTAAAAATTTAGGGGGTAAATATAATGTATAAAATAATTTTATAGGTTGGTAAAAGGAAGGACAAAAAAACTCAAGAAACTGAGTTTCTTGTATGATAAGCTTTTCTGTATTTATTTTATTTTTCTTTGTGGCTGGACAATAGGTAGTTGAGAGTGAGTGATACAGAGAGAAAAAAAAATGAAAGATAAAATAGATTTTAGTCAAGTGGGCCAAAAGTTTTATTTTTTAATAATGGTGGGCAAAAAAATTTATCTTTAATCTTGGCCCAAAAATTTTGTTTTTAATATTGTGCTAAAAGTTTTATTTTTTTAATAGATATTGATAGATTATGATAGGTCAAATATTTGATTTTTTAATAAGTTTAGATAGATAATAGTGAGTTCAATTTTTTTTTGTTTTAAATAGACTTAATTTTTTAATTGTTTTGGGTAAATAATATTAGTCTAATATAAATGAGGGGGGCACACTTAATATATATGTATAAATATATAATACATATATCTAACTAATAAAAAAAAAATTGAGTGAGGCACGTGCTCACCCTGGCCCTTACCTCCTTCCGCCTATGGTTGCTCCTAATGAATGGGTGGTGTGGTGAGGGTGGAAATCATGTTGGACCGCCAGTACACTCGTAGATGTGTGTAGAAGTTTTAATTAAGACGAATTATTCAGGCTCGATTTATATAAAATTCGGTTCGAACTCAATTAGTGTTCTAAATGGTCGAAAACTAATTTGAAAAGTTTGGCTCGTTTATATATAAAATAGTTGAATTACTCAGACTTGAGTTTGCCTTAATTTTTAAATGAACTAAGTTTAAACAATTTTTTTAACTTATTTTAAAAAAAAAATTCGTCAAACTCATATTCAAATTCGCAAAACTTAATCCGATTAACAATTTTGTACGCGTAAGATGATGCCTATCATGCCATGAGTTGCAGACCATGTAAATTTGGAGTTTATGGGATCTACTAGTCCATTGTACCTTGGACAAGTATCCAAGAGTCATGGGCCTTTTTGATCTAAAAAAGGTAACACTGTTAAATGAATTTTTGTTTGGGAAACAGGTTGTATGAAGATCAAATTCGTGCCCTTTAAATTTAAAAGGTCGGGAGAGTGGTTGATTATTATGCCAAAATGAATCGAGTCACTTAAATTTGGCTTCATTTCAAACTTGGTCGAATGTGATTAATTTTTAAACTAATTTAGTGTTTAAGGCAAACAAAAGTGATGTTTACATTGGTGAATTTTTACTTTTTTTTTTTACGTACCAAAATAATTTTTACTTTTATAAAGCCATCTTCTAATTTTTTTCCTTTTGTTGTTAAGTCAACGCAACTCAACAAATTTTTAATTTTAATTTATTTAAGATCAGTTGCAAGAATTCTATTTTTTTTATTAGGCTATATCAAAAATAATATGTTTGGTTAGACCATAAATTATTATATTATTTTATTTACAATTATTTTAATTTTGCATTTACCTCTCACATTATCATTGAAAATGTATCAAATCATTTTCCCTCATAAGTGCATTATTAGGTCTTCTATAAGCATATCCAAATTCCTTAAATTGATTTTCTCTTAATTTATAGTTTAATAAGGGTAACCTGTGCTTAAAAGTACAATTTAATGTAAATGATTTTGAGAGAAATATTAGTGATTGTTGAATAAATTTATTTAAAACCGTCAAATAAGATTATTGAAACTTGTCTTATTTTATATTATATAATTCATGTTGCTTCTTCGATTTTACGAATATACTAATTTTTTAATTTTATCACACATTCATCTTAATATTCTTATATTTATAATAATTAATTTTTGAGCGTATTGTTTCATACTTACTTACCTACCATTCCATTTCATATATTGATCTAATGACGGTCATATGTATGTCAATCACATGTCATGCTTCAACTCTATGGTTAACACCATCTTCAATCTCTCTCTTTATTAATAATTGATCTCAAAATACATACAGTACTCGTCATTTGAGTATTTATTTGTTCACGAGTATTTCTTGATTTTCGATTTTTAATATCTCTTTTAGGGGTGTCTATGGGTGGGCCGGGCTGAATAGTGTAGGCCCATGTCGTTATTCAAATGAATTATTGGCGTGGCTCGGGCTTGGCTTCGAGTAGGGGTAGACTATCCGTAGTCTAACCCGTGAGTCTATTGGACGGGCCTGCTTGCGGGTTTTTTTTATATACATATTTATTTTAAAAATAATGAATATTTTTATAACTTAATATTTATGTAAATTATATTTTTGAGTCAAAATGGATAAAAATAAAATAATGAACTACATTAAATAAAATGAATAAATCTCAACTAGGTTGACACCTACTAATTTATCTGTCATTTAAAACTTATATGTTTAATACATGTAAAAAAAAAATACATTATTTATAATATATAAAATTTTAAAATTTCAAATTTTGATACTGGAAGACTTATTCAAAATTTTAAATTTAATGATTTAAAAATATAAATTTTTTTTAAAGGAATGGAGGGTTTAGTTGGGCTTGCGGGCGGGACTCTTGGGTCGGACTTCAAGTCAGGTAATGAGTTTGGAAATAAATCCAAGCCCTCTATTTAAAGATATAGGGCTCAGCTTCGGGCGGTCCAACTATCTGGTCTATCAGATTTCAAATCTATTTTTTTTTAAATCGGATAATAAGACCTGCGAGTAACCCCCGCCCATATTTATTTATTTTTTTGTATTGCGGTAATAAGTAATAACTCGGACACTGCGAAGCAATTTAATTCCATGTACCTCGTAGTACCAAATCCAGAAACAAAAGATTGGCTCATCCTTTTCTGTATTTGTCCAATCCGACACGAGAGAGAGAGAGAGAGAATGGGAAAGGAAGCCATGCCTGGTTTTGTGCTACTGTTCTTGTTGTTGTTGTTAAGAGTATTGATACACTCAGACGCTGACGAAGAAGGATTCGACGTTCGCCAACATCTCTCAACTGTCTCTAGGTTTCTCTCTCTTAACATCTCTCTCAACAGTGAAACATTATTTTGTTTATTTTCTGTGTTTTTCCTTGAGTTTTGTTTTGCATTTGTTGGAATTTCAGATTTCTTCGCTTATACAACAATTGGGAACATTTCGAGTAGTTTTAGAGCCCGATCGTGGCATGAATTGAAGAGCTTATGTATCTGTGTAGAGAAATCTGTGTCTATCATTATATATCTATCGTATCATTGTTTATTTCCCAAAAGATCTTGTAATCTCTCTAGCGGTTTTTGAATGATGAAATTCATGAGATTCAAATTTACAGAGCAATGACGAGATAAAGACGTGGTCAAGTATTCATTTTTTTCGGACTTTTTTATGGTATTCATTTGAGCACATATTGTTACCAGAAGCACATATTAACATAAATAGCTAACATGCTCATTTTATTGTTTCCACTGGAATTTTTTAACTGATTACTTCTTTCTATTTTGTTTTCCAGATATGATGTTGTGAAAGACATTTCTGACAATTCTTTTGTTCCTTCCAAGATTCCAGATCAATGTACTCCTATCCATTTAAATCTTGTGGTAATCCTCACTTACAACCTCAGAACTGATATTGGGAATGGCTAGTATTTAGAGTGTGTGCATAGGTTAGAGAATTGAACACTATTAATTGTTGAAGTATATATATTTAAGTTACACCCTCTCCAATAGGTTAAGCATTTGGAGTAGATGGTTGTTTAACATTAACAAGTGCCACAGCCTTAAATTCCATGCAGATTGGCTATCAGATGTGTTACTTGTTGGAATAATATGTTTTTATTCTGGCATTTGTGTTATACAGTCTTGTAAACAGTCACATTTGATTTGGCCCAACATTAGTAGAGAAGCTGAAAACTTCTACTGCGATGTGTTGATATGGTATATGCTGCATAATGCTTGCATTCTTCCTGCAGTTATCCTTGTGGATTTTCCTTCTTTTTTTTTTGTTATTTACATTGATTTCAGCTAGTATAGTCATGTTATAATGAGTGGTTTGATTCAGAATTTGTCTTCGTAACCAAAAAATATGGAAGCACAGGCAAGGCATGGAACTCGTGCCCCTACAAAGAAAAGGATGCGGGAATTAGAATCTTTAGAGGCCCACTTGGAGGTCCTTCTACAAGATGCAAAAGAACTGAAATTGCCTTTGCAGAAAGTTCCTGCCTGGTTATGGAAATGGGAATCTCCTTGGAGAGGTAAGCATAAAGGTGGAGAAATTACTAGTGAAGGAGAAGCTGAACTTTTTAATCTTGGGATCAGAAGCAGAGAAAGATTTCCTGAACTGTTTAATGAGGATTACCACCCAGATGTATATCTCATAAAAACCACCCAGGTTGGCCATTATTTATTCATTTACAAGTTGTTGATATTTACTTACTCAGATGAAGGCCTTCCCTTGAGGGATTACTTTTATAATGAGACTTGCGTGATTGAGATTTTTTTTTTATTTCTTTGGACCTTTATTTGCACTTTTGGCATCTGTCAAAATATATCACCATAAATTCCCGTTTGGTCGAGGTTTCCACATAGATGGAAGTTTCCTCAGCACAGTGACTTCAATATCTATTTTGTTTTTGCTTTACCTCTGCCATAAGGATGTGTTGTTATTATAATCACCTTTGCCTAATAATGAGATAGGTCCCTCGGGCATCAGCTAGTGCCGTGGCATTTGGCATGGGGCTTTTTAGTGGGAAAGGAAATCTTGGACCACAACATCATCGAGCTTTTGCAGTTACAAGTGAAAGTCGTGCAAGTGATATAATGCTGAGATTTCATGATTGTTGCCAAAATTACAAGGTACATATTTTGATCTATTTTTTGGAATCCACACCCATACACGTGCTTACCTTGACATAATAGATGAACTTAAGGTTGTATTGAAAACATCTTTTGAGTGCTTGGACTGTAATAATCTTGATATTTGTCATAGGAATGGCAATGATATGACAAGACAGCATAGATTCGAGTTTTCATATTCAGCATGGGGTTTGGTAGTATTGTTTAGCAGTGTAGTATGACTTTACTGCCTATACATTGTTTGAGTACCAAACTTTTACTTTTCCTTGGACATTGCTTTGGTGCTATTCTGACCATTTTGCTCATCTGTTAAACAGTGCCACCTAAAGAAACTTTATAGACTATGCGACCAGTCGAAGAATACTATGGATTGTTGTCCCATGAAAATCACCTATGTCGAATATGATATCTCTATCCACCTAAACCAAATGTAAGGTTTCCAAGATTATGCTTGTGTCAAGAACTTTTGGGTTGCATTGCTCCTCAAAAGAGGAATATACCACTTATTTCAACTTGTGATTTTGACCAATGGAGGCTGAAGCTTCATCCTTTTGCTTCCCAATTGACTCCCTTGTAGAAGAAAAGAGTCAGCGAAAGCCTTAAAGGACTGGACAGTGGCTTCCAAATAATCTATTTGTGAACCAAATGCTTCTTTCATTGCATATACATCTTGTTTAAAACTTCGAGCTCTGCTTGCAACTCATTATCACTCACACCTTCCATGTTTTAAAGTTAGACTGTGGCAAAAAAATAGGATCTTCGAGCTCTAATGACAAATTGATGCAGGACAAATGTGGGAAACAGCCTCCTACTAAAAGATGCCACCTAATTAGATATGGGCAGCGGAAGAAGAGGTTATCTAAAGTCGGATTGTGGACTGTTTATTTTATGTTTTGGATTGTGGACTGGTTTGTAGCAAAAAAGGTTGGTAATATATTGGGCTTTTAGGGTTTGATAAAATGTGAGAAGTTAANTTACTAAAAAAAAATGGTAAATGAGAACTAAAAATTATTCTTAACAAGTAACAAGCATTGTGTTAGATAAAGAGAAATATTGTATCTTCGTTAATATATAAATAAAACATTGACTCAATCCAAAACTAACATATTTATTTTAGAGGGTTAGTAGTCCACTAATTTACTNAATGGGGTTTGAAGTTGAAATGGGGCAAGATTGAGTAAGATCTGGTCATTTTTTGGGAACGTGAACAGTAATAGAAGCTACTTTATGGTTTTCAATTGTATTAAATTGAAGTTCTAAGGANTTGACTCAATCCAAAACTAACATATTTATTTTAGAGGGTTAGTGGTCCACTAATTTACTAANAATATATAAATAAAACATTGACTCAATCCAAAACTAACATATTTATTTTAGAGGGTTAGTAGTCCACTAATTTACTAAAAAAAAAAGGCTAGAACCATTATTAAATTTTTTAAAAATTTAGGGGGTAAATATAATGTATAAAATAATTTTATAGGTTGGTAAAAGGAAGGACAAAAAAACTCAAGAAACTGAGTTTCTTGTATGATAAGCTTTTCTCTATTTATTTTATTTTTCTTTGTGGCTGGACAATAGGTAGTTGAGAGTGAGTGATACAGAGAGAAAAAAAAATGAAAGATAAAATAGATTTTAGTCAAGTGGGCCAAAAGTTTTGTTTTTTAATAATGGTGGGCAAAAAAATTTATCTTTAATCTTGGGCCAAAAATTTTGTTTTTAATATTGTGCTAAAAGTTTTATTTTTTTAATAGATATTGATAGATTATGATAGGTCAAATATTTGATTTTTTAATAAGTTTAGATAGATAATAGTGAGTTCAATTTTTTTTTGTTTTAAATAGACTTAATTTTTTAATTGTTTTGGGTAAATAATATTAGTCTAATATAAATGAGGGGGGCACACTTAATATATATGTATAAATATATAATACATATATCTAACTAATAAAAAAAAAATTGAGTGAGGCACGTGCTCACCCTGGCCCTTACCTCCCTCCGCCTATGGTTGCTCCTAATGAATGGGTGGTGTGGTGAGGGTGGAAATCATGTTGGACCGCCAGTACACTCGTAGATGTGTGTAGAAGTTTTAATTAAGACGAATTATTCAGGCTTGATTTATATAAAATTCGGTTCGAACTCAATTAGTGTTTTAAATGGTCGAAAACTAATTTGAAAAGTTTGGCTCGTTTATATATAAAGTAGTTGAGTTACTCAGACTTGAGTTTGCCCCAATTTTTAAATGAGCTAAGTTTAAACAATTTTTTCAACTCATTTTAAAAAAAAAAATTCGTCAAACTCATATTCAAATTCGCAAAACTTAATCCGATTAACAATTTTGTACGCGTAAGATGATGCCTATCATGCCATGAGTTGCAGACCATGTAAATTTGGAGTTTATGGGATCTACTAGTCCATTGTACCTTGGACAAGTATCCAAGAGTCATGGGCCTTTTTGATCTAAAAAAGGTAACACTGTTAAATGAATTTTTGTTTGGGAAACAGGTTGTATGAAGATCAAATTCGTGCCCTTTAAATTTAAAAGGTCGGGAGAGTGGTTGATTATTATGCCAAAATGAATCGAGTCACTTAAATTTGGCTTCATTTCAAACTTGGTCGAATGTGATTAATTTTTAAACTAATTTAGTGTTTAAGGCAAACAAAAGTGATGTTTACATTGGTGAATTTTTACTTTTTTTTTTTACGTACCAAAATAATTTTTACTTTTATAAAGCCATCTTCTAATTTTTTTCCTTTTGTTGTTAAGTCAACGCAACTCAACAAATTTTTAATTTTAATTTATTTAAGATCAGTTGCAAGAATTCTATTTTTTTTATTAGGCTATATCAAAAATAATATGTTTGGTTAGACCATAAATTATTATATTATTTTATTTACAATTATTTTAATTTTGCATTTACCTCTCACATTATCATTGAAAATGTATCAAATCATTTTCCCTCATAAGTGCATTATTAGGTCTTCTATAAGCATATCCAAATTCCTTAAATTGATTTTCTCTTAATTTATAGTTTAATAAGGGTAACCTGTGCTTAAAAGTACAATTTAATGTAAATGATTTTGAGAGAAATATTAGTGATTGTTGAATAAATTTATTTAAAACCGTCAAATAAGATTATTGAAACTTGTCTTATTTTATATTATATAATTTATGTTGCTTCTTCGATTTTACGAATATACTAATTTTTTAATTTTATCACACATTCATCTTAATATTCTTATATTTATAATAATTAATTTTTGAGCGTATTGTTTCATACTTACTTACCTACCATTCCATTTCATATATTGATCTAATGACGGTCATATGTATGTCAATCACATGTCATGCTTCAACTCTATGGTTAACACCATCTTCAATCTCTCTCTTTATTAATAATTGATCTCAAAATACATACAGTACTCGTCATTTGAGTATTTATTTGTTCACGAGTATTTCTTGATTTTCGATTTTTAATATCTCTTTTAGGGGTGTCTATGGGTGGGCCGGGCTGAATAGTGTAGGCCCATGTCGTTATTCAAATGAATTATTGGCGTGGCTCGGGCTTGGCTTCGAGTAGGGGTAGACTATCTGTAGTCTAACCCGTGAGTCTATTGGACGGGCCTACTTGCGGGTTTTTTTATATACATATTTATTTTAAAAATAATGAATATTTTTATAACTTAATATTTATGTAAATTATATTTTTGAGTCAAAATAGATAAAAATAAAATAATGAACTACATTAAATAAAATGAATAAATCTCAACTAGGTTGACACCTACTAATTTATCTGTCATTTAAAACTTATATGTTTAATACATGTAAAAAAAAAATACATTATTTATAATATATAAAATTTTAAAATTTCAAATTTTGATACTGGAAGACTTATTCAAAATTTTAAATTTAATGATTTAAAAATATAAATTTTTTTTAAAGGAATGGAGGGTTTAGTTGGGCTTGCGGGCGGGACTCTTGGGTCGGACTTCAAGTCAGGTAATGAGTTTGGAAATAAATCCAAGCCCTCTATTTAAAGATATAGGGCTCAGCTTCGGGCGGTCCAACTATCTGGTCTATCAGATTTCAAATCTATTTTTTTTTAAATCGGATAATAAGACCTGCGAGTAACCCCCCCCCATATTTATTTATTTTTTTGTATTGCGGTAATAAGTAATAACTCGGACACTGCGAAGCAATTTAATTCCATGTACCTCGTAGTACCAAATCCAGAAACAAAAGATTGGCTCATCCTTTTCTGTATTTGTCCAATCCGACACGAGAGAGAGAGAGAGAGAATGGGAAAGGAAGCCATGCCTGGTTTTGTGCTACTGTTCTTGTTGTTGTTGTTAAGAGTATTGATACACTCAGACGCTGACGAAGAAGGATTCGACGTTCGCCAACATCTCTCAACTGTCTCTAGGTTTCTCTCTCTTAACATCTCTCTCAACAGTGAAACATTATTTTGTTTATTTTCTGTGTTTTTCCTTGAGTTTTGTTTTGCATTTGTTGGAATTTCAGATTTCTTCGCTTATACAACAATTGGGAACATTTCGAGTAGTTTTAGAGCCCGATCGTAGCATGAATTGAAGAGCTTATGTATCTGTGTAGAGAAATCTGTGTCTATCATTATATATCTATCGTATCATTGTTTATTTCCCAAAAGATCTTGTAATCTCTCTAGCGGTTTTTGAATGATGAAATTCATGAGATTCAAATTTACAGAGCAATGACGAGGTAAAGACGTGGTCAAGTATTCATTTTTTTCGGACTTTTTTATGGTATTCATTTGAGCACATATTGTTACCAGAAGCACATATTAACATAAATAGCTAACATGCTCATTTTATTGTTTCCACTGGAATTTTTTAACTGATTACTTCTTTCTATTTTGTTTTCCAGATATGATGTTGTGAAAGACATTTCTGACAATTCTTTTGTTCCTTCCAAGATTCCAGATCAATGTACTCCTATCCATTTAAATCTTGTGGTAATCCTCACTTACAACCTCAGAACTGATATTGGGAATGGCTAGTATTTAGGGTGTGTGCATAGGTTAGAGAATTGAACACTATTAATTGTTGAAGTATATATATTTAAGTTACACCCTCTCCAATAGGTTAAGCATTTGGAGTAGATGGTTGTTTAACATTAACAAGTGCCACAGCCTTAAATTCCATGCAGATTGGCTATCAGATGTGTTACTTGTTGGAATAATATGTTTTTATTCTGGCATTTGTGTTATACAGTCTTGTAAACAGTCACATTTGATTTGGCCCAACATTAGTAGAGAAGCTGAAAACTTCTACTGCGATGTGTTGATATGGTATATGCTGCATAATGCTTGCATTCTTCCTGCAGTTATCCTTGTGGATTTTCCTTCTTTTTTTTTTGTTATTTACATTGATTTCAGCTAGTATAGTCATGTTATAATGAGTGGTTTGATTCAGAATTTGTCTTCGTAACCAAAAAATATGGAAGCACAGGCAAGGCATGGAACTCGTGCCCCTACAAAGAAAAGGATGCGGGAATTAGAATCTTTAGAGGCCCACTTGGAGGTCCTTCTACAAGATGCAAAAGAACTGAAATTGCCTTTGCAGAAAGT